CAGAAGGGGCCTCCTCAGCCGGCACCAATATGCCAGAACACACCAGCCCTCCCCCTCCCCGAAGGGAGCCTGGGCGGGAGCAATGCCTAGGGAGCCTTAACCCAGCGCCTGGAGGCATTCAGAAATGTAACCCAGCGGGAGACGTTGTTAGAGACTAAAACTAGCAAAGTAGGAAAGAAATCTTGCAGGTGCCACAGACAAAGGAGTCTGGAAGAATGTCAGTGATAAACTTAAATGCTTATCCAGGAATTGCAGTGAAAGCCAAGGTGGCCTTCAAGCACCTGTCACTGAAGATGCAGAAGACTAAGAGGAGAGGGAGTAGGAACTAGGCCCAGGGGAGTTCAGCACCTTCGAGGGAGATAAACGACCCCTAAGAGTCATCCAGCCTCTCTGTGGAGGGAGTGATTTTCAGGGCATAACAGTCTGAAGAGGACAGTTATCTTTCAAGGACTCACAGCACTTTGCTCTTAGTAACTCCAACTTCTCGTTGGGGTTTGACTCAATGATAGTTTAAAGCATTAAGTTTAGAAAAATAACTAATAACCTGCCATTTCAATAGTTTTAGTTGAATAAGATCAAAACTTCATAAAGTTAACCTTAGTTAAAATAAGATAGTTTGTTACACATGTTTGAGTGAAAAGAGCAAGTTATGAAAGAGTTCAGTATGGTCTCTTCTGGGGGAAATATATACATATATGCATTGAAGTGTCTGGAAAATTCTACACCAGAGTTTATCAACTTAGGCTATACAATTGACACTTGGAGCTGGATAGCTCTTTGTTATGGGGACGGGCCTGTGTACTGTAGGATTTTTAGCAGTATTCCCAGCTTCTCCCCACTAGATGCTAGGAGTACCCTTCAGGAGTCCTGAAAGTAAAAAATGTCTCAAGACAATGCCAAATGTCCCATGGGAGGCAGAATCACCGCCCCCCCGCCCCCGAGCTGAGAATCATTTCTTTACCCTAATATGTTTACAGTGGTTAAACCTGGGTTGGGGTATTATAGGTAACCCCCTTTACATCTAGTTACTCTACAATGAATATGTGTACATTTACCTTTTATGGTAACAAAATAAAAGCTACTATCCAAATACCCACAACCATGGCACTATTTATTTAAAAATGATAGGCACATGCTTTTGACTGAGGTCTTTGGAAAAACTGCAGGTACAAGCTTAATGGAAGATATAATGTGAGGAACCACAAAGAAAATAGAGAAAAATAGTTCTTCAAAGATAATTTATCAAAAATTCATCTCAGGGCATGGAGGTGGCAATGTGAGAGCCAGGAAGAATGTGCTTGGTTTGATCGATGACCCAGATGTGCCAGTCCATCCTAATGGTGCCCTCTGTTTGATGTTCTCATTATATTTGCCACGCTGGACAGACTCACACTCTGGCCTGTACAGATAGTTTTTTTCTGCACTGATTTCCTTTGAACTGAGCTCAACCTGGGGGCACCAGATCTTTTCCATGTCCTATGCCAAGAGGACAAGTGTCCCTCTTCACGTACTCTCTTCCTTTGTGCAAAACATGGCACTAGGTTTCACTTACTTTGCAGTCGGGTATTTTCATTCACCCAGTTGTTTAGAATTTATGAGCTTCTGCAAAAAAAGAGCCACTAATAGATGTTTTCACGGGGAAAACTCGCCTAATGTGGAGGAGGTATAAAAACCCCAGAGCAGACAAAATGCCAATGAGATGATGAAGAGAACTTGTCAGAGGTTCTGAAACCTCAGCTTCCCAGTTCCACGGGACCTCATGCCCAGGGAAAGAACGGATGAGGCCCCAGAAGGTGAGTTCTTGGAGCTGCTGCAGGCCTGCCAGCAGAGGTGCGTGGGGGGCGCTCCCCCCAGACACACAGCCTCTAAGACGGTGTTACCTTCCCCGTAAAAATGCCTAGTATGTGCTCCCATTTCAGTGCGTGTATGTGTGTGTGCATATGTGGCAAAGCACTGAAGCAACAAAATTTTAAAAATGCTCAATAGTTCTGACGTGCTTAGACTGACAAAAGATGGAAAAGCAACTCAGAATTAGAATCCTTTTTACAAACCCTCTGGTGGATTTCAACCTGAAGGCATAAATGGGAAGCAAATTACTATTGTACTTTCAGGTGAGAAAAACACAGTGAGGCAAACTCTGCTTTTGAATCAAAATAGTCGTATGTCTAAATGGCTTCTCTTTCTGGTGCTAAGTACATGCTCCGGCTGCTGCTAATGACGACACACACACACGCAGCACTCACTATGTGCCAGGCACCGTTCTAAGTGCCTTCTATATTCCAACTCTACCCTCAAAACAACCCTAAGTGAGTCGTCACCCCTATTTCATACATGGGGACACTTCAAGACATAATAGTAGGGGCTCAATAAATATTTTGTGAATGAAATGAACACTTTATTCTCTTTTTGCTCTTAGTAACAACTCACCCTTTCCCATTCCTGCTCTTCTTTTACAGTCAGTATTATAAACCTGTTCTTCAAAGCTGGCAGAATCACTTCCACAAACATCGAGAGGAACAGAACACTCTGGTTAATATAATTATGTTCTAAATTAAACCATTAGATCAGAAACTGTTTGGATTTGTGGACAATCTCAAAGACCATGACTCCAGAGTCCACCTCTCCCACCAGCATCGTCTGCCTGTGCCAACAATATAAATAAGGAAATATGGATATCTGTTTCCCTGAAAGAGCCTCAGCGGATTATGAGTTTGTGATTAAAACAAACATGTATTAGGTAAATCATATGAAATTGCTGTTTCTGCAGGTCAAAACCAGTCAAATATCAACAATTTTATCTGGTTCAACTTAATCAATTCTGTCATATTTTAATGCAGTGTAATTGTAGAATTTAATTTTCTAAGTGAATGGTGAAGGGGATTGGAATAGTTACGGGAAGTTAACTAGGATGGCATTGTTTTCTGGTACACTTTAGTTTCCACAGTGAATTATGTTGCATTTTTAATACATTTAACCTTAGATGTGCATTTAACTTATTTCTTTTATATGTCCTTGTTTACTTATTCATTTTAAGATTTTGTGGATGAGGAATATCCATTCATACATATTCCAAGTAGCCTTTCAGACATTGTCCATTTTAATAGAGTAATATAATAGTCACACATTGTTTCAACTGCTAAACATCTTCTAGTTTACAGACTATGGAAATATCTTATAAGACACATTTCCAAATATTTTGAATACTAACCCCTTGCCAGAGGTGTTGTTTGCACATATCATATCCTATTCAGTTGGTTGCCTTTTTGTTGGCAGTTTCTTTTGCTGTGCAGAAACTTTTTAGTTTGATATAGTTTCATTTATTTTTGCCTTTACTTCCCTTGGCTTTGGGGTCAAATTCATAAAATCTTCTCTAAGACCAAGTTTCCTCATTTAGTACCTATGTTAAATTAGTACCTAATTTAGTCTACTATGCAATTTATTGTTTCAGATCTTATATTTAGGTCTTTGATCCATTTCAAATTAATTTTTGTACAAGGGGACAAACTGTAATCTAGATTCATTCTTTTGTATGTGGCTTTCCAATTTTCCCAGCACCATTTACTGAAGAGGCTTTTCTTCTTCATTGTGTGTTTTTGGCTCCTTTGTCAAAAATTATTTTCCCATATACATGTAGTTTTATTTCTAGGTTCTCAGTTATGTTCCATTGGTTGGATGCTTTTTTGATCATTGTAGCTCAACACCAAACAAACAATCCAATTAAAAAATGGGCAGAGGACCTGAACAGCCACCTCTCCCAAGAAGACATACAAATGGACAACAGATATATCAAAAGATGTTCAACTTCACTAACTATTAGGGGAATGCAAATGAAAACTGTAATGAGATACCACCTCACACCTGTTAGAATGGCTATTATCAACAAGACAAGTAACAGCAAGTGTTGGGGAGGTTGTGGAGAAAAAAGGAACCCTTATTCACAGCTGGTGAGAATATAAACTGGTACAGCCACAATGGAAAACAGTCTGGCAGTTCTTAAAAAAATTAAGCATAGGGTTACCATGTGGCCTAGCAATCCCTCTCACAGGTACCTACCCCCAAAACTTAAAAATATTCACAAAGTTACATGCACCCTTATGTTCATTGCAGTATTACTCACAGTGGCCAAGACATGGAGACAACCAAAATGTCTTCCAATAGAGGGGCTGGATAAAGAAGATGTGGTGCATATACACAATGGAATACTACTCAGCCATAAGAAAAGATGAAACACTACCAATTTGTGACAACATGGATGGACCTTGAGAATATTATACTAAGTGAAGTAAGTCAGTCAGAAAAAGCTGAGAACCATGTGATTTTTCTCATATGTGGTATATAAAACTGAAATGCATAGACACAGACAACAGTATGGTGGTCATCAGAGGGAAAAGGCTGGGGGTAGTAAAGGTTAAAGGGGGCCAAATATATGGTGACAAAAGACAATTTGACTCTGGGTGGTGGTCACACAATGCAACATAAAAATCATGTATCACAGAAATGTGCGCTTGACACCTACGTAATCTTGTTAACTTATGTCACCCCAATACATTTAATTAAAGAAAAACATTTCCAGAAATGAGTGTAATATTCTATTATAAAATGTGGTGTTTTCTTCAAACACCACAAAACACTTCAAAAAGCATGTGATATCAAGAAGCTCTGTGCTGATTTGTTCACTTCGCGGAGATATTATTATGATTTAGTGGTGGGTTAGGGTCCTTAAATGTAACCAGTTTACCACCAATTTAGTGATATTTGCATGTTTTAAATATCTCATTCTTCTAACGATAAACCACATTCTAAAAAAGTAGTATTTGTGACATGAAATATTTTTTTACAGTTATATTCTTAAATGCCCAGAAAATAATTGTCGAAGTATGCTTATTAGAAAATAACAAAGAGGCCATAGTACATCCACCTGAATACATTCTGCATCCAATCTGGCAGACGTTCTGGAACCCTTACTGAATGCAATGCAAGGGGTCAGCCATGGTGCTCCGGGGCCTGCTGTCCCTGTGAGAGCCACATAGGCACGAACCAATCGCCCATATGAGGCAGAATGAAACAACTGCTATGAGGAGAAAGAGGAGAAATAAGTAGTTCTCCCTGACACAGAAAAATATGGGTAAACTTCTTTTATCCCAGGTGCTTTATTGTTTTGTCACTCAATTGTTCACACACACATGTCTTGTAGTAGGGGTCGGGCAGAGAGGGAAGTTTGGGTGTTAGTCTTCCATTTGTACATATAATCCCCATTCTTCCAAAAATTGCATTAGATAGGTTTCATCTTCTTCCAGAGGCTTGTCTGAAGCCTGATCCTCATAAAGTCTAGACAAAAGGCTCTCACCTGGGAGTTCCTTGTACTCAGGATGCTCACAGACCTCTGAGTCATGTTCAAAGTCACATAGTGAAGGTATAAACAGCCTGCCAGTCTGAGGGTCCCAGTCAACCAGTGTAGTCAATGGCTCTTCTTCTGGCCCCTCTTCTGAGTCCACATGCTCTGTTGGCAGATGGTCCAAGTCTCTGAGTTGAGGGGCATACGAATACAGTACTGTGTGTAGGCCCGAGTCCACCAAAGCTGTCTGTCGATCAAATAATTTTCCTGGTAGGAACACCACCTCCTGCAAACTGAGCTCTTGATCTCCAGGCCCCACAGAAATGTCAGTAGTTCTTACATCATATTCATATTCAACAACCATTTTATCTGTGGGCATTGTTCTGCTGAGTGACTCTTGCTGGGTCAGGAGAATCTCTTTGGGGCTTTCCTCAGCGTCACAAAAACTGTCCACCAAATGTGAAGCATACCCTAAGTGTTTCACCCCCATTTCCTCTTGATGTGGCTCCTGGTCCTTGCCAGGCTCATTCCGGTCTGATACTTCATTGGTCTGTTCCAGCACACTTATATCCTTATGAGAAATTTTAGAATCTTCCAAAATATTGAGGGTTATAAAGTTAACCACAACTTTCTCAGCAGGTACAAAGAATCTTTTGTCAAGTTCATTTCCATAAATCAAAATCTAGAAAGAGAGAAGAGAATGGTTTTCACTTTAAGGGAGACATTAAAAACAACTGTTGAGTACAACTTATACTGTTGTCAGATAGTTTTAAAAGTCTATTCTTATCAACTCATGGAAGTGAAAGTTATGCTTGGAATATACAGAAAATCTCAGTTATGTGGAGGCAAGAGACCCAAGACACACGAAATGCATATGGAAGTGAAAAGAGTTTCACTGAATGAGTATTTGTCCAGGTCAAAGGGTGTGACTGTCCCCTTCTCCAACTGGCTGAGGAAATTCAGGGAGTTAATTTCTTCAGCCTTGGTTTTTAATTCTGCAAAATTAGAATATCTGCCACAAAAGGAGTGGTGAGAACTTAATTGAGATAGAGATTTTGAAATTGCTTTGTTAATTATAGTTTACTATGTATTTGTTAATAAGCTGTGGTTACCTGGACATAAAATGTGGATGAGCATGAAAACTTGGTGGAAAAAGGAAGATAAGAACACGAGTAGGGATGGTCTTACTTACTTCCATCCATATTCCAGTCTAGTCATGCTATAATGAAGCCAAAGAAGGAAGTCCATTTGCCAGTTTATGGCAGATACAGAAACTCTCAATCAGGTTAGAAAAACTTGTTTAGTATTAAAATCTTGCTGGGGATATGTGGGAGGTGCCTGTTTAGATGGCCAATGATGAGTTACGTGACAATCCTCATTGTCTAATCTATGATATGATTTCATTTAACATTATGAAACAGATCCTTCAGTTTCACTCTTTTACAATTTTTTTGATTCCAAAAAGTCACTTGTGTTCAGTTCTGTGAATTTTCCTCCCAGAAAAGGTCTCCCAATGCCATTAAAGAGCTAACTCTGAAACCTAAAGGCAGGCAGTTTCACTGAAACTTTTTAAAATATAAATAACAGGAACACCTGTATGCTTCATTTACATGTGAACATATATTTTAATACTTCCCAAAGAAATAATTTTTATTGTTTAACTATGCTCAGCCTTTCAAATCCCTTCAGTGCATGGTCCGGAAGCATAAGGTTTATTCCTTTTTCCTTTCTTGCTTCTCCTCACCGTGAATGGTGAAGTCCTGGCCATTTGCCTCCTATGTCTGCTTCCATTCCGTGTCTTTGCCTCCAGCCCTCCATCCCACTCTCCTCCTTTAAGATGCACATCTTCTCTTCTAGTTGCTTTATTTGTTTCTGCTAGTCTCATATCCCCTGATGCTGTCCTAGACCCACTCTGCAGTTGGATCTACATAAAACACGGTATTGACCATGACACTCCCCATGCAAAACCCTCCAGAGATTTCTTTGCCAACAAAAAAAAAGCCCAAGCTCCTTAGAACAACAGCCCAATTCTCTCATTATCTGGTCTTCCCACCCACTCTCCAGTCTCATCTTTCATAGTTCCTCATTAGGAACCTTAGGATTTAGCAATACTGTGTGGTTTACCAAACAGCTACTCCTGTTGTTTCCTCTGCTTGCGGCAGGTCCCTAACTCTTACTCACCTTTCATAACCAAGCCTAGGCATGAATCTCCTCCTGATCTTCCATGTAGGATTTCAGTGCCCACCTACATCCCCAGTGCCTGCTTCCACCTTAGCAATAACATACCATTTTGAAATTCTTGTCTCCAACTATGCTTGAACCTCTGGAAGGGCATGACTTAATTTCTCTCATACTCTAAGACCTAGTTTAATCTGGTCATTAAACATAAAATCTTTGTCAAAACTAAGGAATCTTTTCCTCTTTGGTTATCTAGTGAGTTAACCAAGTAAGTGTTTTTTAATCCATCAACTCTCTGACCTTAAACTCCCTCTGCCCCTAAAAGGAATGGTATCTGTTTTAGAGTCTCCTTTTCTATCCTCCTGCAGGTGTGTTGTTATAACAAGTCCTGCCACGCTAAACACTCACCAAATTTGCTGGGTGTTTCTCTTTGCCAACATGGATGTATCTGTACACGGAGAAGCCCATCACAGAAAAGATAAAAACAGTAACAGATATGGGCAAAACATACCAGAAGATGACTTTAACCTTCCGTGCTGGTGTTTGATCTGTAAAAAACGGGGAAGGCAGATGTAATTTGGTGTGGTGGGAAAACACTGGCAATGTAAAGAATTCTTTGGGCAGATAGATTGCTTACATTTAGGAATTCGGTTTTCTCATTTATAAATAATGTTATAAAGGCTCTCAGAACACTTGCTGTCTCTGACAATAGCTGGTCTTACGGAACCGTCAGGCCTGCCTCAGATCTTCACAGTAAGGCTATGTTAACAAGCCAAGCCAAGATATATTCCACTATGTTATGTTTGGCTATGAGATTCATGCTGGTTTTTACATTTGAAGGTAAAGGTACCTGAAATTCAGGCAGCTCACAGCATTCCAAGCCAGGCAACAAAACTTGCTTGTAAAGAACCCGCTAAGCAGCCCCACTTTCCCATGCCACTCATTTGACTCAATCTTTTTCATACATTCAGTAGAGAACAGGAATATATGGTGTCGCCTTCTATGTGACCAACGGGACTATCCGTGTGCTGGTTGACCAGACCTCCGGGGTATAGCTGGAGCCTGGGGATGTGTGTAGGGAGGTGGCTGCGCTGGTGTGCCCTGAGAGAGGTTTTGATGTGCTGTTGGTTTGTGATGAGTAAAAGTCCATTGGGGCAAAGACAGACCTGGTGAACAGTTTTAAGAAAAGTGGTCCTGGCCCTCCATTGATTAGAGTATACAGTTGATGAACAGGGGTCAGTGTGACTTTTATTTGTTAAGCTTCTATGGGGTTCTTGAAAGTTGTGATGGTTAATTTTATGTGTCAATTTGTCTAGACCATGGTACCCAAATATTTAGTCAAACATCATTCTAGATGTTTCTGTGAAGGTATTTTTTTTTAAAGACGAGGTTAGCATTTGAATTAGTAAACTTGAGTAAAGCAGATTACCAGGTATGGGGGTCCAGCTACAGGTTCTTCTACCCTGAACAATTCCTGAGGAGCACATCTGTCATCGATTGCACAGAGAAAGCTGCCACCACCACATTGCAGATGTTGCAGGTGGCTGAGCATCATCTGCTCTTACTTTAGGCTTCAACTTAGTCCAGTCCTCCTGATACCACCCCTGATCTCTGGACGGAACTCGCCCCAATTAAAAGGGGCCAGGACAGCAATGGCAGGTGGTACTTAGTGTACACTAATACATGTTGGCTACAATAAGCCTAAGAAACTGTATCTGTATTTTAGGGATTGGAGGACTATGGAGAACAGTATTTTTCAAATAGCCCCAAAAGAGATAATACTGATTTTTTTTAAGTTGTCATAGTAGTGTCTTAGAAAGGTATCTGGGTTGATTTAACCGCTGGGATATCATGGAAAAGGTCATGAAATGGTGCCTCCTAGTACTTTTGTTACCTTTCTTAAACTGCTTAGGAAGTCACTCTGCCTGCTTACTGGGAAGTATTTAATTTAATCTGCATTCTAGTTGTTTAGCACAGCCAACAGTTTAAATGACTTCCACTGGAAATGCAATCCTACTATTTGGCCACTAATAAAGCTGTTAGTAAACAGAACACTTTATCTAAAACACAAAACTGATTTCTTCACTCCCCTTTGTTTTGGTTTTTGCTTGCTTAGCATTTTAGTTTTATTTGACATGTGGTAGAGAATCCTTCATTTGAAAGGGAAAGGTATGATAAGGATAAAGATTAAAAAATAAAACTTTTCACTTTTTATTTGTGCTCACAAAACTCTCTTTTCATTCACCGGGACACTTCCGTCATGAAATGTGGGAGGCACGAGGGAAGAGGAGAGCAGGGGTCCTGTCACCCACTGTTCCTGTCCCGCAGCTGGCGATGGCACCACGGCTTGGGGGAAAAGGTCGTACCATTTGTCCTAGCCGGCACATTTGGAAGAGAGAAGCATGGATGAAGAAGAGCCATTCAATAAAGGTGAACTTTAAGATTTATTTTAAATTTTCATGTTTTCAGTATAAGGTCCTTTCATGCCTTAGGGGGAAGAATAATTAAACAAACGCCAAGCTCCTAACTTTATGTCTCCTAACAGGAAAGAGACTCTTGACAACCAAGATTAGAACACATGAGAAGGAAACAAACAAAAGAAAGGAGAGAAAAGCAACTGTAAGAGTGAGATAGTAATTACTGATTCGTGGATCCCAGACTAGCCAGTCAGTGATACATGAACACAGCTTGCGGAGCCTGTCATTTGTATTCCTGAGGAGGAGCAAAGCCTTCTGTCTTAAGGTGTTTGTAAGATAATGCTTTGTTTCTACCAATAAAGTTACTTGATGTTCTTGAAGAAGACCACAGAACTTCTACTGACCAGAGTGATAATAATTTTAAAAAAGAAAAAAGATGTGTGTAAAAAATTCCTAATTGTTATTTCCTAAGGCAGAGGCTTGTTGGCAGCAAATGCTGGGCTGTGCTTAGAGTCCCCGAGGGGGCGAAAACACTCCCGAACATTGGCCAGGTCCACTGGCAGCGTCCCAGGCTGCTCGATGTGTTTCTGGTGGCAGCTGTTTTTGCCTTTGCCTCAACCTGTTTCTGAAAGAAATAGGTTTGCCAACACTTGGTCTACACTGCCACACTTTCTTCTAGTTTTATCAGACTTCCTTCCTCAGAGCAGCTGAGGTTTTTTTAAAGCTTACCTTTCAGAGTACTGATACACTGCTTCTCGGAAGGCTGAGCAAGGCGAGGAGGCCCAGGGACAAAGGACTCCACGTGGATGCAGTACAGAGTGTCCGGCTCCGGCCAGCTGAGCACCAGCGTGTGGTTGGTCGCCCACTGAGACCACTAGGTTAGGGAATTGCAAACAGCAGTTACAGGCAAAGGTTTCTAGTACTGCCCCAGACAAATAACTCTACAAGGATATAAAAGGACAAGATACCATGAAATCCTTTACTATGACTACAAGCTTCCTTTTCGGCAACAGCTTTAAAATATCCGTTTCCTTTAGCTCAGCAGAGCATGGTCAAGGACTGGAACAGGCTTTGGAACAATGCTAAGTAATAACATAAGGATGAGTTTCTTAATCAACTTTATCCTGTGTCCTTGCTAACATTTTTTTTTCCACTTTCTTGGAGAGTGACTGACAGATGTTATGCAAGTGAAAGCTGTCCATCAAATCGAGGTGGACAACTTCTCCAACAGCAACATCACACTCCATTAACAGTTTCTGTAGAGGAGATTTGAAGACAGTTCTTTAAGTTTCTACATAGCTTCAATTCTATCTTGGATGGCATCTCTTTGGAAGATCACATCTTCCCATTTTCATGTGCAGAGAATTAAAGCATCAGAGCTGCTTGCTCCAGCATTAACCGCAAAAAGTGGCAGGGACTATGGGCCCCCATTCCATTTCAGGCTTACCGTTCTGTTTGACTTAGTATCACAGATGGACACATTATACTTCAGATTAGGGTATATTTGTTGCATGGAAATGGAACTTTCTTCTGGATTCTTCTTCCACTTCTTTGGAGCAGTCAGAAAAACGGAAATGGATTTCTCATCAGCAGTCAAAGCAACCTCTGGTGGGCCAATTTGTGCTTAAAAGGGAGAGGAGAGGGAATTATGTTCAGCTGTAGAAATCACCTCAGATAAAGCTATGGTCTAATCCTACTGGGATCAAAGCTCCAAAGCCCAACCTCTTATTGGAGATGCCCCTAAGAATGCTCTAAGGTGGGTCCAAGTCACACCAAATCTTGAAGCAGGCATTTCACGTACCCTGACAAAATGTTAATATAGTATATCGAAGACGTGCATTTACTTAGTTCCTAGTCACATGAATATATAGTACTTGATACTGGTAAATACAATGAAAACTATAACACTGCTGTGACTTGAAAAATTGGTGATAAATAACATTAGTATGATTTGACACATGGCAAAAACCAGATGTGGAGAAATGAAGCATTGCTCCATCACCTTTGGAAATGTGATTGGAATGATTAGAATGAGGTTAGCCAAGTTTTACTCTAAATGTCCAGATACAATCCCTGTTGTAACTATTTTTATATAAATATAAACCCCATTCTTCGCTCTTGGTCTGTAGAGAGGCAGAGAAGGGGTGGGGGTGTTGCATTTGGATGAGGGCACAGTTTGGTTAGGTGCCCTCGGATCTAGAAGGGCACCAGGGCAAAGCCTCCAGCTTGGGGTCCCTAAGGAGGACGTGTAAATTTCATTATGGCAGCTCTGAGTGTCGCCTTTATCCAAGTCAGCTACAGATCAGGAATGGAATCATTACAAAGAAGGTACCAGGAAGACGTTGTCTTACTTCTGAGTTACACCTCCACCATACCATCAAGTTTATAACAAGAAAAGACTTAGTTTGGTGATCAGAATAATATTTAGTCAATCTTTTGGACATATTCAATGGTTTATAAACCCACAACATTAAAAAAAATTGGTTAGTTTCTCCTCAAATAACACAGGCTCCACTAAATGATAAAATAAAATTGAAATTGGATAATATTGGCATCCAGCATCAATTTGGGATCTGGGAGAGAGACAGGTCATGTGGCTAAAGCTTTCATTCTAAAGATGAGACTCCAGAATCCAGTGGGAGAGGCACCGTGGGCTGGTCACTCGCCAGCTGATGGACAGAGTGCAAGACAGAGCCAAGCAGGGCACTATGAGGCTGAAACTGTTAACACTATGGCATTAGATGAACATGATACTGATACGTGTTTAACAGACAAGTGAGTTACTTACTTTCTAAGAAAGGATAGAATCGTCCAGTTTCTGCCCATTTAGAACAATTAGTTCCCCAAACGGCCTTAACTTTGGCATAATATTGATGCTCATAGTCAGAAGTTTCAGCAGACAGATCACAGTAGGTCCTATTGATATTTCTGCATTCGGATTTATTCAGCCATTTTTTTTGCCCATATCTGCTGAGAACAAAACTGTGAATTAATAATGTGGCGCCCTCTATGCTTTTCAACAGGAAAAACACAGTCATTATATAAAACTGAATGGAACTTAAGACCTTCTCTTCAGAACAACAGAAGCGCCTGTCACTGAGATAAAAGGAATCTGCTTTGCTACTGGCAATTTTTTTTCATTAGCTGTCAGGAACATGAGTCAGAGTTTCTGTAATCACCTTTCTTTTCTGTGAGTTATAATGTGAATAGTACATTTTGCAAGTGTGTATTTTATTATTATTCTTGGGCTACAGTAAATACTTTACATATTGTGTGATCAATTCTTTAGCAATGGTATCTATGGAAGTTTTTAGTCCATCATGCATACTAAGGTGAATTTGATGGGTTGTTTTAAGAAAAATTAGTAATCCATTTTTTTTCTTAGAAGAAAAATTACCTTGACATTTTCATAAAACTTAAAAATCTACTTGCCTTTAAGCACTTAGGAGAAATTCACTAGATTGAAATACATGCCCAAGCCTGCATTTTCAATAATTATAATGAGGATGATAATGATAATATTAACTAGGTTGTTCATATTGATTTTTCCTTTCCTTCATTAAAAACACAACACCCATAGTAAATAGAGAGGGGGACATATTTTTAGGTGGGAGAGACTGAGGTATAGAAAGTTTAAGTGACAGGAGATAAGCCGGGGAAAGAGACAGGGTTGCATGGGAGGCTACTGAAAAGTTTAAAATGGGTTAGGGTTTTAGAAAGATAACTCTGGTCCTCGCATGGAGCGGAGCTGGAAGATGCTGCAGTAGTCCAGGTGGAAGGTGTAGGGGGCTTAGACAAGGAAGGTGGCAGTGGAACTAATGATAGGACAGAAGGAAGAAATATCAAGTCACAGGACTTGGTGATGGAGCAGATATAAGAGATGAATTAAGGTTGATGTCTCTTTCTGTCTGGGAAAAAATAGTATAATAGTGGTAACATTTACCAAGATAAGGAAGACTGAAGAAGAATGGGTTTGGGAAATGGGGAGTGGAAGGGAGGAAGAATAATGAATTCAGTTGACACGAGTGGCCTGAGGTATGTAAAAGACACCCGAATGCAGACAGCCACAGACACCGGGCCTCAGGAGAAAGTTGTGAGTGGGAGGTAGTGATTTTGAAATAAATGGCATAAAACTACTCTTTCAAGGTGTACGAAATTATCCATGCAGACAAAGCAAAGCCCAGGATAAAAATTTCAGGAGCATCAAGATTTAAAGGTTGGATACAAAGTACATTTAGAAATAGACAACAGTATGGGGCTTACCAGGGCGAACGGGGAGAGAGGGCGGTAGAAGAGGGGAAAGGGGGGTTAAAAAGTGATGGAAGGGGACTTGGCTTTGGGCAATGAACACAATATAATATACAGGTGATATGTTATGGAATTGTACACTTGAAATCTATAAAAAAAGGCAGCTAAAGAGAAGGAAGAAAAAACAAATATTACAAAAGCAAGAAAAGCACTTTTGAGTCTTTTGAGAGGCAGGAAATCTCAATTTTGTCAAGTGTTGTCAAAGATTAACAGTGTCTTCCCCTTTCAGAATATGGCAACAGATTCCTGGAAAAAAACAACAACAACACAACCTCCTGTTGCATGCCTATTGTAATTCATTAGAAATCCTTTAGTCAGATCTTGCTGACCAGCTTCTCCATCTGAGTGACCACCATTGCCCATGGGCGTTCAAACTTCATGAGCCACAGGAAGAAATACATTTTCCATTGCGATCCGGTTCACAAAAATCATACATGTATCTAACATACTAAAACAAAGGTTTTGTAAGATAACACCTAAGTTTTGCTGCGTGCCATGCATTCCATTATTTTCCATTCCAATCCGGTCCATACCATTCCACTTCCCATTAAAAATAACATTAGTTACGTCCCTCAAGGTTGATTTCATGGCCTGCTAACAGGTCTTGATGTGTGTTTTCAGAAATACTGCCATTGCCTGTTTGACCCTCCCTCCTCACACTTCCTCACTCTGCCAAGGGTGGGGCCACTTCCCGTGACAGGTGTTGATGAAGAAAATTCTGTTTACCAGGTTCCAGGCAAAATGCTTTGTAAGTCTGACAAGATACAGACATGAATTATTCAATAAATACTCCAGTGATGATATTTGTGCAAGGCAAAAAGTCAGGAGGGGCTCTCTGTGGTCTCTGACTGCTTTCTGGTAAAGGCAGGAAACATCTACCAAGTGCTGATTTTGCGTCAGACGGTGTTTAGTATTTGCATGCTTATCTCAATTATCATAGTATCCCTAGGAGGCAGGTGCCATTATTTTTTACCCCACTTTACAGATGAGGAAACTGAGGCTCAGTGAGATTAAGGGACCAAACCACTCAAGCTCATGTCATTAGTAAGAGACACGTCTGGAATGTGAACCACTTTTCCCTGATGCCAAAGCTTGAGTTTTTAGTGCTACACTATATACTTTTTACATTAAGTTTTTTTGGCAGATATAATTTAAACTTTTGTTCAGATTTCATCTTTTACTTGGAAACAAACTTCACTCAAAATAATATGTAACCCGCCCAAGATTACCCTGCCAGGTTCGTGGCTTGGCTGTGAACCCAGGGCTGTCTGACTTGAGCTGAGCTTGGGGACCTGCCAGTGAAATACACCGCCCTGTAGTCCTGTCCACCTGTAAGTCTGTTTTTAAATATTCTGTTTCAAAAGTTATGCAATCGAAATTATCTGCTGTCAGAGAGCAGTGATGAACCTGCCCATTTTTAAAAGTCCTTTTCTGAATCACAGAGACAGATAAAGGGCAGAGCAAGCTCTTTGCTCCACCTAATGGAGAAGGAGGCAAGGCCCCACCCCTGAGCCATTTCCCTTTGCACAGTGATGTCGTCTTTCCTAAACCCCAGCTCCTGGGAAGCCTCAGAAATGAGAAAGAGGGTCCAGATAAATGAGGTCACTATGAACAGCAGGTGAAGATTTCCACTGCCTTTGGTGGCCTGAACATTTTTCCAAAGATAAAAATGACTTGATTCTTTTTTGTTAATATGGTACATTTTTTTAAAAACTCAAACAATCAGAAAAGTAGGATCAAGAGAGAAATACATCACCCTGAAACCCATTACCCTGGGATATTTGGTATACATGATTCTGGACACCGCATTATGCTTATAGATAACCAGAAGGACAATTAGATAGCTGAACATATAGGTAAAAACTAGATTGTACCACACATATGGTTTTGATAAAAGTAGTACATTCAATTTGACTTAAACTTTAATATATAAAAAAGGTGAAACTATAGAAATTGCTATAGTTTAAATGTTTCCCCACCATAAGGGATATTAGTTCTTAAAAGATCTTTTAAATTAAGAAAATTGTTTTTGGAAAAGTATTGAGAGCTTAGATATTAAAATGAAGTATTTTCATTTTAGATCATATTTAATGGTTTCCTGCTACGAAAATCAGCACCCATGGTTTCTCCCCACATTTTGATTTGTCCTATTACTGTTTAGGATCAAACGTTCATGAGAAAGTTCAATGGCCGTACGCCCCATCACTATTTAGTCTCGGTTCTTCGTTTTGACTGCCGTGGTGCATGCTGCCAAGCTTAATGCTGTCCTCCTGTCATTCCTAAGCTCTTTGTTCACGTTCATCTTCTTTTTTTTTTTTTTTTAACATCAGGCGGCTATGATCTTTAGTTAGTGGTTCCCCTCACCCCCAGTAAGGTTTCAGGGGGGTGATATCTGAACTCCCCAAGTGCTTGAAAATACATCTGTTGGACTAGTAAGAGTCTCAGGCCTTATCTGTTTTTTCCTGAGAAGATCTATCACTGTGTTCTGCTGCGTGCTGCCAGACAGAAATCCCCCCCCCCACCAATCCGGCTTGAGTCCTGCTTTTGCTGTGATGTCCAGAAATCATTTCATTTTCTTAAAGTTGAATAACTTCCCCAAGACATGCCTTGCTATAGTTTTAATTAAATTTTGCTGGACATGATGTGTATTGATGATATGCAACTTGAGATAGTCATTATTACCTGGTTAACTATTACTATCAGTTAGCTATCATAAGTTTTAGAAGTCTATTTAACATTTTTATTTTTCCACCTTCTTTTCCCTAAGCCCTACACACTTGCTTTAAAAAAAAAAGTTCTTCCTGTGGTCTTAGAATGCCTTCTTTGAGAAGAAATTGCTACTTCTTCTCTTTAAGCTTTATCATTAGAAACATGTTTATGGATTCCAATTATGGATAATTATTTGTCTGAATTTTTCTTCTCCTTCCATGAAAAGGCTTTTCAGGAACTTTTAACTTGTGTTCTTTTTCCCCTCTTTCTCTCTTCCAGTAATTATGGACAGGTGTGGCGCTGGCTCCTTTGGGACTATTGCTCTTTGAATGGAGCCAGCTATTTTTAGAACATTAGGTGAATGGGCACAGGAGTGAGGGTCTGTCCCACACCTGATCGTGGAATCACACTGTTTCCTTTGACCGGGAGCCAGCCCACCCTCGGGTTTGCAACAGCAGGAGGCTGAGGTAGCTGAGGTGGCTGACGGCACCTCCCTGGGCTGCCTCTGTCCCCTCTGCCCCGTCTCACTAGGGCTTCTCCCTGGGCTGCTACTGAGCTTCTGCGATGGACACATCACTTCAACTTGATTTCTGTTTTAGCTCCTCCTTCTCTGACATTCTGGTGCTCCGTGGGGACTTTTCCTCAATTTCTGGTGGTGGAAATCCTTAGATTCCATATCCTTAGATTGTTAGGTAAGCCTCTTAGTACTGTAACATTTATTCTTGTGAAATTATTCTCTACTGTTGGAGGTTGAGAAGGTATAGGTTTACTTCCAGCTTCTGTGGTTGTTTTCTTACAGATTTCACAGTATTTGGCTTGTGCACCCCTAATTTGTGGCTTGCGGGTTGTGGGCATTTCCTGGGTCACTCTGAAGATGGGTTTTGTCTATCTGATTTGCATTCTGTGTTGCTTGCAATGAGTTTTGAGGAAGAGGTAAAAAATAAAACTGTCCATTCACTACTGTCTTTGATAGGAACAGCTAGTTGCACATAATTCTGTGCTCAGTTTCACATAAAAATGTCTATCACTCCCATAAGTTTAGATGTTCAGAGATGATGGATTTCCTTGTTTGCTCAGCCACAGAATAATCCTTTGACCAAATTCTTTTTCCAACTTAAATAACTTCCCTTTGCCTGAGCCCCCAGGGCTCCTGTCTCCACCAAGAAACTCTTTTCTAATTTAACCCACTAAAACATCACAAGAAAATTTAACATGAAACACCTCAAATTTTCTTCTTTTCAAACATAATACTGAATACAAAAGATGGATTATCTTTATGCAATTAATTGAAGTCTGAGTCTGGTGTTTATAAATTAGCCAAAAGGAAAAGAACCTACTTACATGAAATACTGCACAGTGTAAGTAACTCCCACTTCTTGTAGGCCCTCTGGTGGACTCCACTGTAGAACATTCATCATGTTGACGGATAAGAAGGTGATGTTTGCAGGCTTAGGCAAACTGCCAGGGACACAGGGAACTGAAAAAGGAGTAGAGAGAAATCAAGGTCTTCACAGAGGAAAACGAAAACATAACCCCTGTGGTGGCTGGTCTCCAGACACGGCCTCCCGGTACCGGTGCCCTGTGTATTTCCTCCCAAACTGAACCTGAGCGGACACTGTGACTCACTTCAACCAACGGAATGTGACAGGAGTGACTCTGGGGCTAAACCTGAAGAAGGCCCGGCAGCTTCCACTTTTGCCTTTTGAAAGCCCTGAGCTGCCGCCTAAGAGTTGGGCTACCCTGCCGGAAACACAGTGTGGGGAGGCTATGCGACCAGGGAGAGGGTCAGTTGTCCCAGCGGAGCCCATACTTTTCACCAAGGGGCCAGAAGGAGCACTGTGCACGTCCCAGCCACCAGCCACAGACGGAAGGTGTGTGAGAGACTCCCAGTGAGACCAGCAGAAGACCATTCTGCTGTGCCCTGTTGACCCTCAGAACTGTGAGAGATAATGAAGTAGCTGTTTTAAACCACTATTTTGGGGTAGTTAGTTGTGCACCAGCAGATAACTAAATAATCCCATTATTAGATAAAGAAATGGAATTTAGAGTAGATGTCCGAAAGGGCAGAAGTTCGGAGATTGGCGCTGGAGTTAGCTTTACTGAAGAGTATGTATGAAGCAACAATTAGAAAAGAAACTATTAAAAGAAGACAATTGATTTAATCAAATGCTGATAATTTCACATTGTTTTCTAAGAAAAACTGTGTCTAGAGGATTAATTTGTAAAAATCCTCTGTATAGAAATGATAAAGAATTGAGAAACTACCAAAAAATCAGAAAAGGACAAAGGAGAGTGAAAGATAGTTTCTTAAGAAAGAAAACAAGGATAATCCTTGAATTAAAATCAGTAAGTCAGTGGTAACAGGTAGGAATCAAAGTATTAAACTATGGGAGAGATCACAGAGTACCGGGTAATAACTGAATTTTATGAAAACTTATTCTATCACAAATACATATATTCTAGTCGATGAACTTGGGAAATCTAAAATTTTGATACTGAAAATCAGATTCAGGAAACAAAATATAGCTAAGTCACTGGAGGGTGCTCAAGTCTGATAATTCCTGTGCACATTAGCTGGGACTCATCGGAAAAAGGAATTAGCTTTATGCTTCTGGTAACCCTTGGCTAAGACTAGCTCTATGCAATGTAGAGCCAAATGAATAATTTCACGAGCCAAATGAAAAGAAAAATTTTTTACCTTAGAATTAAACTTTTTATATGACCCTGATGCTAAACCTAAATAATCTCTTTAACATGTGGCAGAGTAACCAAAATAGAGGCAGTTGAGTGTGTGTTTGTGTGTACATGTACTATATTTGTAATGGCTTCTACTTTTAACCTTGATAATTTTTTAATATCTGTTTTATTTTTAAGAAGAAAGTTAAATACTGATCGCCATGTGGGTATATGTGTAGAAGGAATAAAGAGGCTCTCAAAGGGCCACAGCCTGCCCAATGCCCTTCTTTGATTTCTATTCTTCTCACTCTTTGGAACCACACTATATCAACTGGTACCGGCTTTTTGCTGGAGATTATTGACAGTGTGTATTGATCAATGATTTAATACCACTCAGTGCTATCACAAGGTCCGAAATTTTAATCATATTTTTGAGGATGAAACAGAGAACATGGGGAGGCAGAACAACGGAGCGTCGTATTTCTCAACTGCTCTAAAGTTTTAATGTAAAAAATTCCAAAGATCTTTCTAGATCTAAAATGCTACATATTGTTCTACATGTTTAGGTGAACTAACATGTGAAGAGTGGTTAGCATATCGTAAGAACTAATATTAACATAGACTATGTATTATAATATCACAGATATAAGATATTACCAACACATGGCTCCATGAAACTATCAGATAAGGAACTAGAATATTCTGATCTGTGGCAACTTGAGTTTGGAGATTTAAAATATAAGTTATCTTAGATATTCTAGTCCAGGCATATTTTCTCAGTGTTTAATTTATACAAATCTTTATCTTATACCACATTGGTTTCTGCCCACCTTTTAATATAAGTAAAAAAACAACCGATGAAACAAAATGCCTAAAACATACCCAAAAAAGGTTTAAGAAATATCTTAAAATAAAAAAGAAGAGATTGCTCACTTAATTAATTTAATTTAAATTTCTTGGTCACTGCCATGAGGAAACAATTTTGCTTTTCTGAAGTGAACTGTATTTTGGAAGGTGCTGTCAATCATTAACGTTCACTGATTCAACATTTTGTTTAATGTTTTATAATTGTTTAAATAATCCTCTAGAAGTGCTATGCCGATTATTAAAATGTTACCCAACTATGGTAATAATAGGTTAAATAGGGGGAATTAATAATGTGACAATCGTATATAACTCTCCTTCGCCAAGTCCACACTATGGGTAAATCATGTGTCACAGCAATTTTGACTGCCAGCCTCCAAGATGGCCCTCAGGCATTCCTTCCACCTGGCGTTTGCACCCTGTATAATCCCCTCCCACGTGGCATCTGGGTTGGTCTATGTGACCAATAGCATATGACTGATGCGATGGTACATCATTCCCAAGATTAGGTTATAAAAGACACGGTGGCTTCTACCTTGCTTTCCTCTCAAAGTAGATCCTGTGATGACTCTGCAGCCCCAGCCTATCAACCAACTACACTCTCAGGGGAGACCCTGAGCCAGAACCACCCAACGAAGCCATCGCTGGACTCCTGACCCTCAAAACTCTGTGAGGGAGATGATACTTGTTGTATTAAGCTGCTCAGTTTTGAGGTAACTTGTTACACAGCAAAAGATAGCTAATACAATAAAGACTGAAATGAGAGCGACTAAGAGAGATTAATTACTAAAAAAAAGCAAATTAAACTGAAGGGAAAAAAATGCCCCCCTCCCTTCTCAATAATGTTATAAATGACTTCTGCTTTAACAACCTTGAAAAAGCATTCTTTGTAATAGGTCAATTTTATCTTTATAAAGAAAATTACAGACCCAATGAGAAGACTAAAAACTTAGACTTCTGGTAGCAAGTGCAGATAGATCATAGCAATAGCCCTTCGGATTTTTTAAAAAAGACAAATGCTTTGTTAAGGTCACTGTAAATACACTGACAAGGAGTCAGAACAGTAAATAGCTTTAACAGAAATGCATTTTAAAACAGATGTTGCTATTTTATATACTTTCTGGGGAGAGGATATCCCAGCTTTTTAGTCCTGCACATTCTTCATTTGGATTGACATTCTTTCTGATTGTGTAGGCAGAAAAAGCCATCAGTTTTGGATCATCCCCTTGTCATTAAATCAAAGTGTCATCCAGGGGCAGCCCTACCCTGGGAAAGGAGCGTGGCCCAGAGGAAACTGAAGAAGTACAGAGGGGCTAGACCCTCTTCCTTGTAAGCCCTGGAAAGGAATCTGGATTGTATCTGGAATTCAGTGGGCAAGTAGTGAAGCCTTGTCATCAGGAGAAGCCACGAGCCTGCTTATAATTCCAATGGTCACTTCATGTCCGTTTGCTGGGAGAAAAGATTGGATGGGGGTGAGAAGAGCATTGGAGAAACCAGTCTCCCTTCATTACAGCTGCCCCAAGGAGGGAGGCTGAGCTTGCACCCAGAGGCTGGCTGTGGGTATGAAGATGGGTGGGTGGCGTGGGGCTCTATTTTCACAGCAGAAACAACGGGACATCCCGATGAAGCCGAGCTGCAAGAGTCTCCTGAGTAAGAGAGTCACTCTGTTGTGAAAGGTAAACGAACACATGAGGATTTATCAATAAATACTTGCCCTTTTGTTTTGATGATGCAAGGGACTGGTAAAAAAAATACAATTAGCACTCTTTTCAAAAAGGGGAGAAACAGCACATTTAAGAAACAAAGAACTGGTAACTAGTATATACTTGTGGTTTTTACATCTTTGTAGTTTTTCAGCACAGCATTGTCTCGAGTTTGGAAAGGAAAGAATGGATAAACATTCCGATTGAGGACAGTCATGGTTCTAACCTGTCTGTACTGATAGGATAATTTAACTCCAAAGTGAATACATCGCACTCATATTGATACCAGGAGTCAAGTACCAATTTACAGATAACAAAGAACTTTTTTTTTTCACATAGATTCAGGGCCTGAAAGTACCGCTTTGATTCTCTCATAGTCCATTGATTTTACATCTCAAATCATAAAGCTGTTGGATTGATGCACACAGTTATTTCTGAGAATGCTGTACCATTACAACTCTGGTTTGAAACACAAGATTCTTCATGGTCTGGTCTGACTGCCCTTTGCAATTCTGCCAAAGATACTGTGTTCACCAGACACACCAAATTACCTGCAATACCCTAACTTGTTCTGCTGTTGTGTGTCTTTACAGTTTTGGTGGTCTCCTCCTACAGTATCTTTTGGAACTAAAGACCCCTTGCTCCTCCATGTGTGCATCCATTTAATAGCTACTAACTTGTACTATTTTAGGAACTAAAATATAATGATGCTGTAATGTTATGTAGGGTATGCATGGTCTCCAGTAAAGAAAGTAGGCATTTCTGACAACAGTTATCTGGGTAACAGTCTAGTCTTTGAAGAGAAAAATTGAACTTTGTAAGATCTCATAAAGGGGCAGAACCTCTGGGTTCCCTTTCAGCTTTCCTGGCCACTGTGTGGGCTTTGAACAATAGAGGGATACTTGGGGTGCCCCTTTGAATTGTGGGGGCTTAAGATGGCCTCTGCCATTACAAAGCTGTGAGGGGTCCTCCGCAAGGAGGTGTCCACTTAATGAAACTCCAAGTAATGATTGGTTGCTATATCTTGTAAGTCACATCATTTAGATTTATGTCCCCTCTCAGTGTTTGTTTTCCTTTTGTTACAGCTTGGCCTTTTGGAAAGCCTTCTAGAATGTCTTCATCTTTGTTATAGTGCCATAGGAAGAACTGGGTCTACCCTTGAATTCTTCTAGTAGGAATACAACAGAAAAATGGCATTTGCAATGGGTAAAGCTATGACAACTTCATTAGTAGA